GAAGTTTCTTTTAAAGATATTGAAAATCTCTGCTGACCTGTTGATTAATTATACATGACCAGATGAGATTCTTTGACCCCTTTTCCACCATTGTTTGTATTATGTGTCCAGACATGCATGCATTAGTCAAAATTGTGGTCTAATACAAACATTCTAGTACCAAGTTTTGCTGAAAGACAGTGGCGTTTTTGTTGTTGTTATTTTCAGACACACTGGTGCACGTAAAATTTCCCTAATCCCACATTTTTCTGGTGTAAATTTCAGAGCTGGCAGAGCGAGGAGATGAGCGTCACTGGGCCCAAGATCCCTCAGGCTCTGGAGAAGATCCTCCAGCTGAAGGAGATCAGACAGGAGCAACTCACTGATCCCATAGGTCGGTCAGCTGGTTAGACTGCTGCTAAACCAAAAACCTTTGTATTTTTATTCAGTTTTGTCCTGTAGTGACGGACTGGGAAGACCAGCTATAATTGTCTGAAGTTGTCCAATTCAAAAAAAATAATAATTTTGTTTGATTTGTGACTGGAAAATGAAGTTTTACGGTATGATCTCCACGTTTTTTTGTTTTTGTTTTTTTTATATATATATATGTGTATATCTTTCAAAAGAGGACGAAGACGAAGATGAGGGAGGAGATATGGATTCATCTGCATTGCCCATGTCTGAGACAGATGACGACAGCCAGATGTCTAAAAAAGATGTAAGCCTCTTTTAAGCATCTAAGATGAGCACCTTTAAGAGTCATAGCATTGTGAGTCCATGCTTGATGAATTGACTTTGATATTTGTCGCTTGCAACTTAAAATTGTCAACCCAGCAAACAAAACTGTAAAAACAGGATTTGTAGGTCCCGGCATAAATGACTCCACTATGAGGCAGTTTTTGTTTCATTTTGTTTGTCCCGTCTCTGAATTTGTCAACCAAACTTTTCCTCAGAAAAACCGCAAACGCAGGAACCGCAAAAAGAAGAGCAAGAAGAAGCGAGCGCAGGAGAAGAAGGAGCAGGCGGAGCAGCAGCAGAAGGAGAGCAGCGACAAGGAGAAGGACAAAGAGAAGGAGCAAGAGGTGGAGATTGAGTACGTCACAGAGGAGCCAGAGATTTACGACCCCAACTACATCTTCTTCAAGCGAATTTTTGAGGCATTTAAGGTGACTACAGCAGACATAGTTGAATAGCGCATCCACTTTGATCCCCACCTCTAATGCAGTCTCTGTCCTTGTCTTCTTCTAGCTGACTGATGATGTGAAGAAAGAGAAGGAGAAGGAGCCCGATAAGTCAGAGAAGCACGAGACGGCTGTGCTGCGGAAAAAAGGATTTGAGGAGGAGAAGAAAGACAGTGACGACAGTGATGAGGTTTGAACACCTCCATTTTTTTACGAGAGCGGAGCAAAAAGTACGAGTACTTGTCTGCTCATGTGCTGAACATCTGAAATGTTTCTCATGTGCAGGAAATCAGGCCGGATGCCCCAAAACTATCCAAGAAGAAGCTGAGGAGGATGAACCGGCTGACAGTGGCTGAACTTAAACAGGTAAAAATATATGGTTTGTGTTTTCAGTCTAAAAGTCCGTGCCTGATTCTGAATAGATGATAACTTTTTATTTCTCCTGCTGCCACTTCGCTTCAGTTGGTGGCTCGTCCAGATGTGGTGGAAATGCACGATGTGACGGCTCAGGAGCCCAAGCTGCTCGTGCACTTAAAAGCCACCAGGAACACGGTGCCGGTGCC